CTCTTTATTATTGTGCTTGTAAATTTAGTTATTCGAATTTAAATTTAAGCTTGCAATTAACCTTATTCACCCCCTCTCTAAGGTTGATTCCCTAGGCAACAGATTCAGTTTCAAGTGGAAAACGCCACTGCCATTTCCCTAACAGCGCCTTGTTTATGACCAAGAGATTACCGCTACCCAACCTTCCCTTCTCATTTGGCTTAGAAACCAAATCTCAACTAATGTGATGGTCATTCTTACCTTCACTCATACTCGCCCACATGAACCCCTGCATTATTTTATCTATTTTTATAGTCACTCCCTTACGCATCTTGAAAAGAGATAGGTAGTAAGTGGGTAAGCTTCCCAGAACATATTGAAACAAAGTTAATCTGCCCCCTCTTGAAAGGAATGATTTATAGTTTTACAATATTTTCTTAACACTTTTCACAAGGGTAAGGATTTCCCCACTCCAATTTTATCCACTTACACTCTTTTTTTAGTTATAAAATGGAGTGTAAGTGGATAAAATTTGAGTAGGGAAATCACCACTCTTTCGCAATTGGGTCCTAGAAAGTTGCAGCCCTTTGATTTCTTCCTAAAGGAAGACGCAAATTACAAGACCCGCCCCGAATTTCCTCGGAATCCGAGACGAATCCCATCTTATGTCTAACATCTTACCAATGCCGCACCCGCTTACTAAGAACCGAGACTTTCTATCGAAATTTTGGCAAAGTCTCCCATGTAAATTTGATTTTTCCCAAAATTTCAACATGTTAAAATCACAGTTTATATCCCAACTGGCAGCATGCATTCAAGACAATTCAATAGTTTACAACAAAGGCCCATGGCCGTCAATAAATTTCAAACAGAACCACATTCAACACTCACTTAGTCCAACGAGAAAATGAATATTCGTTCAATCAAGCCTCGTGTTAGATGGATGCGGGCATGTACATATAAGGCACATCACCCTCTCGCCGTTAGTCGATATGGGATGTTACACAAATATTTGGATGACTATGTACTAATTCTGCACCCCCACGACTTAGCGAGTCGTGCTAACTTATCTTCCCCCATGTTGATGTCCATCAAAGAACATTTGCTCTTCTTTAGTTTGAGACATGATAAAACACAAAAGCAATCCAGAGCCGATAACAAGTTGTCCCACCAAATTTCGTTGTCAGATAAAAAGAAAATTGTGTCGTCTGCAAATTGTAAATGTGACACATCCACTCTTTCATTACTAAAATAAAACCCTTCAATAAGCTCAACATCCTTGGCCATTTCCAGAAAACAGCTAGGAATGTCCACTTTGATATTGAACAAAAAAGGAGAGAGTGGATATCGCCTTGGTGAACTCTTCATGATGATCTAACTTTACACCCTGGTCGCCCATTTATTAAGATTAAGAAGTTGGTTGACTTTAAACAACCCATGATCCACTACCTCCACTTAAACCCCAAAACCTTTCTTTTCCAAGATCTGAACTAGAAAGTCTCATTCGATGAGATCGTAAGCTTTTTCAAAGTCAATTTTAAACACTAACCTTTCCTCCTTCTTCATTCTTGTTTCTTCAACTACCTCATTGGCCACAAGAACTGTATCTTGAATCTGTCTTTGTGTCACAAAAGCTCATTGAGATTGAGAAATGGTGCCTCCAATTACTTCATTTAGTCTTCAACCCAGAGTCTTCGCATTATCTTGTACAAGCTGGTTGTTAGGCTATTATGCCTATAATCCCCAATCTATTCCGAATTTGCTTTCTTAAAAAAAAAAAAAAAAAAAAAAAAAAAAAAAAAAAATATTCATTGGTTGATTGCATTAATTAACCCATATCTTGTGAAACTCTTCAAAAACCCTCCCAAAGTCATTTTTAACAACATCCTAATGACGTTGAAAAACAAAAACCAAAAACCATAAGGACATAATGATTTCTCAATACTACAATAAAAAATAGCATTTCTTATTTAGTCCTCTTCGAAAGGCCTCTCTAACCACCTTGTTGCTCCTTCATAGATAGAATACCAATTATTTCCTTCTAGTTTTCAGCTTACCTCCCTGTAAGTGTCATATTTGTAAATTGGCATTCTCTACCCTAAGCTTCTTTTTTGTGCAAGCACTAGGATGTTTTTGGATTGAGTCCTGAATGAGGTTATGAAGTTGGTAAAGTAAGAGTGATGCGAATAGAAGATTGAAGATGCCCATAGCCAAGCATTCATCATCAAACAAGGCTTCATATGAATTTAGGAGAAGTAAGTTAGACTTAGATACCATGCATCCATTTCTAGGTGGTTAGTAATTTGGAGTAAGCTTAAAATGTTTTAAATTGAATTCATGTATTCACAAATCTTTTGGCTTTGGAAAAATTAGGTTTGCATTAAGTTTATATTGATTTATGTTCACTGTCACTCGAGCGAGCTTATTGGCTCTCTAGCGATACATGTGGTTTAAGCATTCTGTGTTCTGCAGCTCGAGTGGGTAAAATTTATGTCTTTGGTGCTCGAGCAGCTAGGATGCAAGCTTGAAGGAAAATATGAGATTTCAGTTTTTCTGTTTTGATTTTCACGTGTTTTTTTAAAGAATCTTTGTCCTAATTACGTTGGGTTTTTTGACATCTTCCTAGTCTTAACCTAAACAAGTTTTAAACTCTATTAATACCTTGTTTTAGTAGACGTAAAATTTACAACTCACATAATCTGAAATTGGCTTTTTTTATGAACTCTTGAGATTTTCCATCATCTTTTTTAGAGTTCATTAAGCATAACATCGTTAGGTTGATTAGATTGTTCCTTGTGAATCTAATCAACCTAGCACCCATATCATATCATTCTTTTCATTGGAGTGTTCGTGCCTTAGTGGTGATCGATGATCGTGGAGGCTCGTGCCACTATCAAGATCGACGTTGTGGAATCAATTCAGAGATGTGTCATTGTTTGGACCTAAAAATTGACACACCCAGCCCAGCGAAAGTGAGGCCCAAAATCTAAGAAAAGCCCAGCCCAAAACCTGGGCCTCACAGCCCCATTTTGATAGAAAGGGAGAAGCCCAGAATTAAGAAACAAACCCACGTGACATCTCTGGGATGAAAGGAAAGTCAACAATAGCAACTGTCATAAGAGAAGTGATTGAAAAGTTTATGTCATCAAACTGCTCCGAAAAAAGCCTTGGAAAAATCAAAAGATAAAAATCCCTCTTACATATACATATATCTATATTAAATCAGAGATCTTTTTCTACTCTACGAAGAGGGTAATTCTCCCAAAAAGATAAGCAAGCTACGAGCTCAGAGATAGGAAAGTAGGGAGCTGTCCAGAAATAACCATCACGAGTGAAATCTCACAAGGGGCAGTTGAAATTAAGAAGAGAGATTAGGTTCTTTCTCAAGAAAAACAGGGAAGTGATTGCCTATCTATTTGAAAGCCTATCTGCCAAAACTGATAAAATCCTACTTTCTTTCTTTTTATTTTAAAAAAGAAAAAGGGGGGGAGATATCGTCTGAAAGAGATTTGCCGCCCATTATTAATCTTTCACTATAAATACAAAGATGAGTGAACAGGGTAAAGGACAACAAAAAATTCATCACCAATCAAACAAAGATCCTACACAGGAAAACCGTCAAATAGACAAGTTCAAAATCAACCAATAAGCCCACTTGAATTTCAAGTGAAACCAGCTCCAGATCAGAATTCCCAAAATCCAGATTTAAGAAGCAAGTCAATCAAAAACGAGATTTCTCTCGTTACAAATTTGGTTCAGCAAAAAACCAAAACAGGCAGGGTTTGAACCTCCTCCAAATATGGAAAACCTCAACAAAACTCACAGTGCAGTCTCTAGCCCACTGAAGCCCTCAAAAACAGTCACTCCTGCCCATGCAGATTGAGAAAACTACAGTTCTGCCCACTCAAAAGCTTCACAAAAGCATGAGATACATCAAAGCTCTGCCAGAATCAGCCTTTGGTATCGATTTACAAGTTGAAGCTTAGCAGTCAATATTGTCAACGGTCCAGTCCAGCCCAAGCGCTTCCAGTCCAGCCCGGGCATCTCCAGTCCAGTCCAGACCAGAACCTTCTATCTCGACAGAAATAAAGTCCCGGCTGTCTCTTCATCTTTCTTTAGCATAAGTATTTACTGTTATTATTTTGTAAAAGGCAGTTCTGCCTGAAAAACAGTTTAAATCCCATCAACCATTCTGGCCAAGGCAGCCTCTCTATACTGAGATAAATTGTTGAAGTCCTCACCAGTCTGAGGCAGCAAGAGCCTCAACCTGCTCCGCAACAAGCGGCCCCACAAGATCACCCTATGGAAATTCTGCCTGAACAGCCAGCAGTATTACCCTACAGGCCTAGAAGGATGGACCCCAATCCATTCCCTCCACCTGCAAGAGGAATGAGAGGCAGAGGGGGAAATTACCCTTATGCTAATAACGACAGGAACAGGCAGTGGGCAAACTGGAGGAACCACCCAGGCCTGGAAGAGTCGGAGGAGCACAGGGAAGAAGTTCTGCCTATACCATATAGGGCAGAACCACGATTTAATCATGCCCAACCAGAACATGGACAAAACCTCCTCCCTGTTAATGCTCTAAATGACGTGGGGGCATTGCAGAGGATGATCAGGGAAATGATGGAGCCTGAGGCCAGGAGGGGGGAAAGGCCCACCTATAGGAAGCCATATCCACCTTACATTGATCAGATACCCTTGTCCCCAGGCTTTAAAGTACCAAACTTCACTTTATTCAACGGAGAGGATCCTCATGCTTCATCAGTTGAGCACGTAGGCAGATTTTCTACCCAATGCATAGCCATAGAGAATAACCCACTGTTAAAGCTAAGGCTTTTTGGGAATTCTCTCTCTGGACAAGCTTTCACTTGGTACACCAATCTGCCAGCAAATTCTATTCAGACATGGGAGCAAATGGAGAGTGTCAGCCAGAAGTCACCATCAGTGACCTTGCCGCCCTCAAACAGAGTGAAGATGAACCTGCCCAAGACTTTATAAACAGGTTCAGGAAGCTCAAAATGAAGTGCCAAATCCCCATCGAAGAAAGACACTTCATCCAAATGGCTCAGGCTGCCCTCAAAATTTCTCTGAGGAAAAGATTTGATGGGATGCTGTTTGGAGATCTGGCAGAACTGGCAGATAAAGCGGCCAAGTACGAGGAATTGCTCAGAGAGGAACAGCAGAAGAGAAACTCTTCCAAAGGCACGTATTATAAATCCCCTTCTTCCTCAATACATATGATTGAAGTGGAGTCAGAAGAAGATGCGGAGGAATCAGAGGAGAGAGAGGTTGCAGTTGCGGAAATGGCAAAATTAAAGCATCCCATCAGTTGTAAAACTCTTACAAAACCTCCAAGGGATCAGAAGCCGCCACCATTCACAGGAGGGTTTGTTCCAAACAAACCTGCAGAACAAAGTGTATTCCTTCGATCTGACCAAAGTAGATGCCTTGTTTGATGAAATGTTGCTACAGAAAGCAATAGAGACGCCTCACAGAATGCCCAAACCAGAAGAACTCAAGGGCAGACAGTATTGCAGATGGCACAATTCTTGGAATCATTCTACCAATAGTTGTGTTGTTTTCAGAGATGTCATACAGGAAGGGATAACAGCAGAAAGGCTGAAGCTAGCAGAAAAACCTCCATCCGTCACCACAGATCCTTTTCCCCTGCCACAAGTTAACATGGTCAACCTAAATTGGCCAGAACGAAAGAAGGACAGACCAGCTATACAGGCTGGCTCCAGTAGAAGCAGAATAGTTTCAAAAGAGACTATGGAAAGACCAAAAGCAACCATTTCAGCTGGAATAGTGCTCTGCAGCAGGTGCAAGTGTGAGGCTGAGTTGGAAGTAGTCCTGGAAAAACAGGAGCTGCCCACTCCAAGTGTTTTTGACCGGATCGGAACCACGCCCCATGATAGGGCCAGACAGAGAAACTACCCTAGGCCTGTCCAATCCAGCAGAAGAATGACTAAGCAGCCCAAGGAGGAAATATCAATAAAAGTGCCCGGAAGTGACAAACCTTTGGCGGCCATCATTGAAGGCAGGTGGTATTCTGTCGGAAAGAATGGCAGACCAACAATGGAACTAACAAGAACCCAAAGGAGGAGGGTTCAGAGACAGTACTGCACTTTCCTCAATAATGAGAAAAACGCACAAGTGCTTCCAGAGGCCAATTCTGCCAAAAAAGGGAAAGAGCCAGAAATACTTCCCCAGACGGAACAAGCAATCTCTCAACCACAGAAGTTGACAAAAGCAGAATCCTCAGAGAAACCTTCTATCCATCCTGCCTCCGCCTCAGAAGATCTACTTAAAACTCCCCAACCAGAGGAAAGAACCGATCATGTTCCAGGAGAAGGACAAGAAGACTGGGTTAAGGAATATGAAGAGGAGCAGCTGGATTATGAACCATCTACAGATGACCAGAATGCGCTCCTCGGAACAGAAGAACTGGGAGAATGGACGGAGGAATATGAAGGAGAACAGATGGATTATGACGGAGAGTTGGATGCGGAAACTGAGGCCTTTGGTGCAGAATTGGAGGACTTGTTACGTGCTGACCTAGGCATCAATATGGTGTTCATTCTGCCAGAAAAGTTCTGGGCGGTAGAAGGACAGAAGAGCACTCTGGACGGAGACGTATTTTCCCAAGAAAGTTTTGAATGCAGGTTGGCAGAAGCGGAAGAAATGCCAGAGCAGCAAACAGGCAATCCCAGGACAGAAGGAGCAACCCACAAGCTGGCTACAGGTCAGCTTTGTTTCTCCAAACCAACCAAAGAAATGGCAAACCACCTCAGACCCTTGTTTATAACAGCAAACTTTGGGGGTGTTCCTATCCCCAAAACTATGGTAGATGGAGGTGCAGCCATCAACCTTCTGCCTCACAGAATGCTGAGCAAAATGGGCAGAACAGAAAAGGATTTAATCCCAACCCGCCTGACCGTCACCAATTTCGCAGGGGGCATCACCAAAACCCTTGGGATCCTGGATGTGAATGTTTTGGTAGGAAGCAAGAAGCTGAAGGTTGCATTCTTTGTGGTAGATACTACCTCTACCACTTACAATGCACTGCTTGGCAGAGACTGGATTCATCAGAGTCTATGTGTTCCTTCCACTCTTCATCAACAGTTAGCTTTATGGAACGAAGAAGGCTACATGGAGATAATAGAGGCCGATCCACGGCCATTCCTACCTTCTGCCATGTGTTGTGAGGCAAGGTACTATCATGATGACCTTGGTCCTTTCACTTTCTTTGGAGTCAACCAGAACGGCCGCCCCCATGGTGTCACGGCCCAGAGGCTCATTGAAGAAGGTCTAACCAATTCTTTGGAGGATTGGAACAGACCTTTTTTTCTAAATTTCCAAAGCACTGATGTTTAGTCCCAATCAACAAGAAAAGGATCGAGCTGCAACAATCCGGTCCATTACAAAAAGATTGTTGATATACTGGGAGGAAAGAAAGTTGTTTGCCCAGAATCCAGCCATCAATATGGCAGAATTCACTCATGAAAGCACGGAAAGCGGGGAGGAAGAGGAACTACAGGAGGAAGTGCTAGATTTCGCACCAGCCGCACTGGATGACTCTCTGCCAGAGGTAGAAGATCCTTTGCAGGAAATAAACTTGGGAACAGGGGAGGATCCAAGGCCTACCTTCATCAGCGCACTGTTGAAAGAACCACTTAAGAATGAACTCGTTGCACTTCTACAAGAGTTCAAAGATTGTTTTGCTTGGCATTATCACGAGATGCCAGGATTAGACAGGGAATTGGTAGAACACAAGCCACCAATCAAAGAGGGATACCTTCCAGTCAAACAGGCCAGAAGAAGGATGTCCATGGACACAGAACTGAAAGTCAAAGAAGAAATAGAAAGGCTGCTCAAAGCGGGATTCATCAGGCCTGCCATCTATGCTGATTGGCTAGCTAATATTGTACCAGTTCTAAAAAGGAAAACTGGGGCAGTCAGAATCTGCGTGGATTACAGAAACCTGAATGAAGCCTCTCCCAAGGATGAATACCCTATGCCAATGGCGGACATGCTAGTAGATGGAGCTGCCCACAACCAGATGCTATCTTTTATGGATGGCAACGCAGGTTACAATCAGATCATGATGGCAGAAGAAGACATCCACAAGACAGCCTTCATGTGTCCAGGGCATATAGGTGCTTTTGAATACACTGTAATGCCTTTTGGCTTGAGAAATGCAGGGGCTACCTATCAAAGGGCAATGAATTCTGTTTTCCACGATATGATAGGGCATTCCTTGGAAGTTTATATTGATGATGTTGTGATCAAATCACCAGAGGAGGGAAACCACATGACAAATCTAAGAAGAGCATTCCTAAGAATGAGGCAACATAAACTGAAAATGAACCCAAAGAAGTGCGTTTTTGGAGTTCAAGCGGGAAATTTCCTAGGATTCTTGGTCCACCAAAGAGGCATAGAGATCGACAAGAACAAAGCAAAATCCATCATAGAAGCTTTGCCGCCTAGGAACAAGAAGGAATTACAAAGTCTCTTAGGAAAAATTAATTTTTTAAGGAGATTTATATCCAATTCTGCAGGAAAGATCCAGCCTTTCTCTTCTTTGTTAAGATTGAAACAGGAACAAACCTTTAAGTGGGAAGAACAACACCAACAAGCTTTTGAGGAAATCAAGCATTACCTCTCAAATCCACCAGTTCTGTCCCCACCAAAGAGAGGCAGACCACTCAAGCTCTATATATCTGCATCAGAAGTATCCATTGGAAGTTTATTGGTTCAGGATAACAAGGAAGGAAAGGAACAGGCGGTTTACTACCTAAGCAGAACTCTAACAGAAGTGGAAAGAAAATATTCTGCAATTGAAAGACTTTGCCTAGCCTTGTACTTCACTGCTGTAAAGCTCAGACATTACATGCTGCCATACACCATCTATATCATTGCTAAAACAGATCTGATCAAATACATGCTAACAAGACCAATGCTAAGAGGCAGAATTGGAAAATGGACCTTGGCCTTGACAGAATTTGCCTTCAAATATGTTCCTCAGAAAGCCGTCAAAGGACAAGCTGTGGCAGACTTCCTAGCAGATCATCCCGGAGAGGAGATTGAAAATATGGACTCTTTAGACATAGCAAATGCAGATCTATTAACCAGAGCTCACACCTGCCTCAACAATCCTATCTACTCAGTTCATCTTACACCTTGGAAGTTATACTTTGATGGATCAAAAACTGATATAACTTCCGGGGCAGGAATTGTTTTGGAAGAACCACTTGGAATCAGACACTGCTACTCTTTCCAATTAGATTTCCAATGCACCAACAACAGGGCAGAATATGAGGCCTTAATCATTGGCTTGGAAATGCTGGTAGAATTAGGAATCCAGTCTGTGGAAATTCTGGGAGATTCCATGCTGGTTCTAAAACAAATTGCCGGGGAATACAAGTGCCTAAGCCCTTCTTTGGCTGTCTACTTGGTGGCAGCTAGGAATCTTCTGACAGAATTCAGAGAAGCCACTTGGGAACATATCCCAAGGGAAGAAAATTTTGCAGCCAATGAATTGGCCCAGGTGGCAACAGGCATACAAATACCCGAAGATTGTGTACAAAGAATCATCAGGATAGGAAAGAAAAGCCTACCATCGGTTCTGGCCAGGGGGATGGAGATAGATGTCAACTCTGCCACAATCACTGAAGATGATTGGAGAAATCCTATCATGACCTATCTACGATATCCAACTTTGCCCTCTAAGAAGAAAGTCAGAATCGTGGCTTTAAACTACCTTATGTGGAATGAAGATTTGGTCCGAAAGAGTAAGGATGAGGTGCTTTTAAGGTGCCTCGGGAAGAAAGAATACATGAAAGTTATGGGGGAAACCCATGAAGGAATCTGTGGGGCGCATCAAGGTGGGAGAAAAATGTGTTGGTTAATTAGAAGATATGGCTACTTCTGGCCAACCATGATGAAAGATTGCATTAACTATTCCAAGGGGTGCGAATCTTGTCAAAGACACGGTCCAGTCCAGCAGGCTCCATCAGTCCCCATGAACCCAGTGGTAAAGCCATGGCCCTTTAGAGGATGGGCAATGGATCTTATTGGCAAGATCTATCCAGCCAGCAGCCAGCAGCACTGCTTTATCATTGTTGCCACAGACTACTTCACTAAGTGGGTGGAGGCCAAGGCTGTTAAATCCACTACATCTCAAGAGATCATCATTTTCATAGAAGAACAGATTATACAAAGATTTGGCATCCCAGAATCAATCACAACTGATAGAGGATCATCTTTCATATCTAGAGAAATGCTGGGACATGGCAGAGGCATTCAAATTCAGACTGCTCCAGTCCACTCCTTATTATGCCCAAGCCAATGGACAGGCGGAGTCAAGCAACAAAGTAATCATCAACATTATCAGGAAAATGCTTGAGAAGAATCCAAAACAATGGCATGAGAAGCTGTCAGAAACTCTTTGGGCATATAGAACTTCAAAAGAGAAGCAACTGGCATGACCCCCTATGCGTTAACCTACGGCCATGATGCAATTCTGCCTATGGAGATAGCCGTTCAGTCCCTCAGAATTGCTCACCAACATAACTTAGTAGGAGAGAACTACTCCCAGGCCATGATGCTGGAACTGGAAGGATTGGATGCAGCCAGAATTGACACTCTCAACAAACTCCTGGCAGGAAAACAAGCTGTATCAAGGGCTTACAACAAAAGAGTTAAAAACAAGAGTTTTGAAGAAGGAGAGATAGTCTGGAAAGCGGTTCTGCCCCTTGGAACACATGTGGCTGGTTATGGAAAATGGTCACCTACATGGGAAGGCCCTTTCATAATCAACCGATCCTTGGAATGGGGGCATATAGGTTACAAGATAGGGACGGAGAAATTCATACTGCCCCAATCAATGGCAAATGGTTAAAAAAGTTTTATCCAACCATGTGGGATTCACAGGCTGTACAAACAGACCCTGGGATAGACATAAGGCTACACTGAACATCTTTTGATTCTTTTAAGATTACCTTTGTTCTAAAAATTATTTTAAGTTTGTTCCCTTCTGTACTTTTACTTCCACTTCTGTTCCTGTTTATTTCATCAATCAAAAAATAAACTTTATTTAAAATAAAAAATCATAGGGCCTTCCCCATGACATGCTGTTCAGCAAGAAATAATAAAAAGAAGAAGAAGCAAATCAAAACCCTAATTTTCTGAGGGTCTCTTGCAGATTGGTCTTCTTGATAGAAAGTTCCTTTTGAAGCAGGATACCCTGATGAATCGAAGCCTCTGCAATCTCCAGGGCTGGCCTAGAAGCTGCAACCATGTTCTGCACAAGGAAAGTGGCCTTGGTCTTAGAGCCCAATCCAGCCCCGAGCCTGTGCTGCACTTCCCGAAGCTCTGCCAGCTGTTTTTGAAGCTCTGCAATCTGTTTTTCCAATTTATCCGCAGCAGCTTTGGCTTCTTTATACCCCACAACCATCTGGTCCAGTTCTGCCTTCTGCTTTGCAAAATCAGCCAAGTTGGCTTCATGAGTGGCCTTGCAGAACTCAGAGGTTTTGAAGGTAGGCTTCAGATCTTCATAACGGTCGTGAAGGTTGAGCACATCCCTCGCCAAAGCAAGGCTCATCTCGAGGATAGGTTTTGGGGCCATGTTCTGTCTGTGCAGCAGATCCAGATCCTTCATCAGCTGGTCAAAGACCTCCTTGCCCTCATCCAGCTCTAGTTCAGTAGACTGCCAGATCTTCAGTCTCTCCATTGCTTCTTCCACTGCCCTGGACCTTATTTTGCCAACAGGGGAGCTGAGCTTTTCCAATTTGTCTAGCTGGGCATCTAGGTCCATGGCTTCAAATTCTGCCAACTCCGGGTCAGCAAAAGAAGCCGTGGCAGATGAACCTGCAAGGGAATGAATAGGCATCTGCAGAAGGAAGCATAAGTCAAAAACAAGGCAGAGACAAAAGAAGAAGATAAAAGTACAAAAAACACTCACAGCAACAATCGGAGGCTGCAAAGGGGTGGTCCTCACCGCCAAGGTCCCAGCAGTTCTTTGTGTTTCTACCTGTAAAGATTTGAGGGTCAGAGGGACAGAGGGACAGAACAAAACCACATAAAATGGGAAAAGACAGAGTAAGGACAGAACTCACCATAAACCCAGGAACGGCAGCAGCCACTTCTACTACGGTTTCAGGAGCAGGAACCACTTGTTCTGCCTGATCCCCAGGCTCTGATCCGGATTGTTCCACTTGGTCCTCAACTGCTGGAGCAGCAATAGAATGTTCCGCCTCTGGATCATCAAAGAGGGCCACCTCTGAGTTAGTTAGCCTCGTCCCCGTATCTTCCTGCTGCTTCCGAGCCAAGGCAATGCTCTCCGCTATCACCTCAGCAGGGATTTCCTCCTACAAAATGCACAGAAGTCAGAACAGAATAAATCAAAGTGCAGCAGGAACAAATACTCCCATATATAAATACAGACTCACCTCTTCTTCCACTGACTTGGCTTTTTCTTGAGGCCCCTCTCCCACTTCTTCTAGCTCTTCCAGCTCCCTTTCTTGCTCCACAGCTTCGAAAGCCTCTCGTAGATCGTCATCCGTGCCAGAAGTGGTGGTAGGAAACTGCCCCAGTCCCCTCCGGGGGCCACGTATTCTTCTACAACCTTCTTTCTAAGTCTTTTTGACTTAGTAAGAGGAGGAGAAGGACTTCCAACTGCAACAGACAGAAAATAAGTCCTAAAGATTACGACAGAACAAGATTATGAAGAACTCAAAAAAGGAAACTGTCAAAAATACCTGGAGTCACAGACTGGGCAGTTTCTTTTCTTTTTCTTTTAACAGGAGAAGTGGCCTCAACAGGAGTCTGTCCTACCTGATCTTCCTCCTCTTCTTCTTCTTTCCTCTTCTCCCTCCCCGGAGGGCAGCTCCAGATCCCCAGCAGCAATAACAGAATTAACTATGCAGAAGACAAAAATTAAGGGTCAATCCAGTAGAGGAGTTGGCAGGAGAAACTGAACAAACATCACGACTTACCAAACACCTCTCCACTTTGGGCTGGTTGGCTGCCTATATTCTTTGTCAGAGAGGGATCTGAGTACAGATAGAAAAGATTAGCATTATCACTAAAAACAGAGTCGGCAACAACAGACGGAATTGAGAGATTACCTTCTATAACTTGCATGTTGATATCTTTGATGGTCTGCACCATGAATTTGTGAGTCTCCTCATCTGTATAAACATTCCAATTGTCCCAGCCCTTAAAAAGGACCTGAAGTGCGGTGCTAGAAGCGGGCAGATCACGGAATCTGGCTTTCCACCAAGCATCAAACTCCACAGAACTGCAGGAGTTCAATTCCCATGAAGGATAAAGGGCATCGGCACTGTTGTTGATCTTATTCACTGCACACCTGGCATCTTTGTGAACCTCCAAGTCATCTGCATCCCTCCAAGAAAAGCCCCGATTGCAGCTTCTGTATGACTTGAGGGGTATGAGCTGAGGGCAGCCAAGCTGCCTTGCACAGAAGTTGGGATGGTAGACTTCCGCCCCTAAATGATAATTTGGAGGCTTTCCTCCTCCGTGAGGCAGATCTCTGGGTAAGGTCACACTTAGGAACTTCTTCCTGAAATCAGTTCTGGCAGCTTCTTCTTCTGGCTCCTTCTCAAACAGACGATGTCCAGGTTGAAACCAAGGATAGGTTCTCCTGATCACCACTTGCCACTGCGCTGCAGACCTCTTGGTACAATGCCTGAAGATCATCAGGTATTCATCAATTGACCGCTTGGGGACTTCTGCTGACAACAATGGTTGAGCCAGAACCTGATCCTCAGGCAGAACTATATCTGGATACCTTAACTCAGGAAAATAGACCTGCAGCCAGATCTGAATCATCCAGAAGGCACCAGGAGCAGACAGATTTAGCGGATACTCCAGGGTGGCGGTATGCAGGTTCTTGAATAGATGGGCCAGAACTGTAGGCCCAAGACCAACATCAGTATGATTATGCAGAGCTTCTGCCAGATGTCTATACTCAAGCAGAACTGCAGAAGAACGATTGGGCAGAACAAACCTGTTCAGCCAATACAGGAGAAACAACATATGCTGCTGATCTTTGTCCTTCTCAGCACTAAATTTTCTGAGATAATTGGAGAAGGAGCAGTTCTGGTTGATCAGGGCTGGGGAAATGGTGAATGGCTTGGCTAGCTTCTGCTGGTCCTTCTTCCTGTGATAATCACCAACGGCATCAACAGGTCTTCCATGAGGCCTAAAACCAAAAATCTGAGCCATATCCAGCAGAGTTGGAGCCATGGGGCCTATACGAAAATCAAAAGTGTTACTGGCAGAATTCCAGAAACACAGAGCAGCAGCAAGCAGGTTCTCATCCCTGTTGATAGATTGCCTGGATAGGAGTATGGCGTCATAAATTCCAGCCCGCCTCCAGTGAGCCCCAAATCGAGGAAGAAGCCTGTCAATCCAATCAGCCCACTTGACTGGACTGTTTCTCACTTCACTAGATGGGAACGAACGGCTCAAATTCTTGCTAACCCAAGAGTGAGAAGCCAGCGCGGAAGAGCTCTCGAAACATAGAGGGGCCTCAGCATCCTTTTTCATCAACTCTGCCATCTCGGGAGGAACGGGACCAAACCAGTGAGGCCCCAGCACCAAGGTGTTTTCAAACAAATGGAGGACATTTTCATCTAGGTTTTTCTGGGCAAAAGGATGAAGCTTACTCCTAACCTCTATCACATGCTTATCAATCCCAGCCCCAGTAATGTAATCTGGAAGAACTGAAACAGAAGAAGATTGAGCACGAGATTTCGGGGAAGACATTTCTCGGAAATGTTGAACCTGAAAGGGAGGTTGTCACGATAGGCAAGACAGAGTTCTTTTTGGCAAAGGGAATTATCGAAAGAAAAGCTCAGGGGAAACAAAGTTTGAAAGTACTAGGTTTCCAGGTGAACAGGAACAGTGGTTTTTTGAAAGTCTTTTAAAGAAGCCAGGAAAACGTGGGAAAGAGAAGACAGCGACGTGGAGAAGACAAAGCGTCATCTGATATTGACTAGCTAATAAAAGGCCAGTAACTAAAAAACTGCTCCACACGGGCGCTAGCTTAGTAGGGAAGCGTGGCAGACGTGGGATAACGGAGGAATTTACCACGCGCCAATTTAATGGCCATGTCATTTAAGTCTGAAACCATTCCAAAAAAACGATTCAGACTTAAGGGGGCATTGTTTGGACCTAAAAATTGACACACCCAGCCCAGCGAAAGTGAGGCCCAAAATCTAAGAAAAGCCCAGCCCAAAACCTGGGCCTCACAGCCCCATTTTGATAGAAAGGGAGAAGCCCAGAATTAAGAAACAAACCCACGTGACATCTCTGGGATGAAAGGAAAGTCAACAATAGCAACTGTCATAAGAGAAGTGATTGAAAAGTTATGTCATCAAAACTGCTCCGAAAAAAGCCTTGGAAAAATCAAAAGATAAAAATCCCTCTTACATATACATATATCTATATTAAATCAGAGATCTTTTTCTACTCTACGAAGAGGGTAATTCTCCCAAAAAGATAAGCAAGCTACGAGCTCAAAGAGAGGAAAGTAGGGAGCTGTCCAGAAATAACCATCACGAGTGAAATCTCACAAGGGGCAGTTGAAATTAAGAAGAGAGATTAGGTTCTTTCTCAAGAAAAACAGGGAAGTGATTGCCTATCTATTTGAAAGCCTATCTGCCAAAACTGATAAAATCCTACTTTCTTTCTTTTTATTTTAAAAAAGAAAAAGGGGGGGAGATATCGTCTGAAAGAGATTTGCCGCCCATTATTAATCTTTCACTATAAATACAAAGAGGAGTGAACAGGGTAAAGGACAACAAAAAATTCATCACCAATCAAACAAAGATCCTACACAGGAAAACCGTCAAATAGACAAGTTCAAAATCAACC